AGATTGTCAAGGAGCTGGGAGCCCTTCTTCAAACAATCGTTGGCGGGGGATTCTAAGGAAATGCGGCACTAGAGCGCTATTAAAATAAAACGTGCTGAACGCGCCGAGTCTGACGAGTCCTGCCAATCGAACAGGAGCAGGATCCAGGGATCCTACGACTTGGCTATTGTACGCACTCGAAAGTCAACAGTGGCGGCAAAAAAGCGTCGCGACAACAATGGCGAGAATAAGGAAAAGCCAAGGCAAACAGACAACAGAGGGAGTGTGGGAAAAAAGAAAAGCAAGTCAGCTACACAGAAAGAAAAACAATAATATTAATTATAACAAAAAACAACTTTCACCCAAAAATGCTACAACCTTAATTTTACAAAATTTGTAGAGGGAAAGATACATCAGAAATCAAAAACATGTATCTTATTACAACAAAACATATATTATTCTTGTATATCAAAGACTTCTGAGATCTTATTGTTTACCATATCAATACAACTTACAATATCATATCACAAAGTTGTGTTGATATGATAAACATGATTTTCATAGCATTAAATATACACAAAACTTAACAATACAATATTGTTCTGCCTTAAGTGTAGCTCCCTTAACAAAGCCAGTATCGGAATGGAACATTATGAAGCCACGTGTAACATGATTCTGGCGTTCAAATCACGTAGCAGACATTTTCGTTGCAGGTTGCGTATACGCCGCGTGGGACAAGAGCACACAACAGAACGCTTATTAACTGAACGTAACGATTGAAGAGGAGCGTGTATGGCTAGCAGAGCCTTGAGAGTAAGCCCATTTTTCAGCTAATGCCTTTTTAAGCGTCATTCGGGTTTTTTCCATTTTCAATTTGTGTGCCAGTATGCGGTTAACAATTTCCCTCACTCTCGATGCCATTTTTGTTGTCATGCGAATCATTAACGCTGAGCGCTCAATTAGCTAATTATGCAAGCCAAGCGATGCCACGTGGTGAGTTGTAAGGGGGCGGCTACCGAGTGGGCGTGGCCATGGCGATGAATTACCAGAACAATGCTGCTGATGACTTGCGGAATAAATGAAAGCTGGCTCATTACCTCGCCGGAGGAAGCGAAAAACAAGCAACAAGATGTATGAATGTATTTTATCTTGTTGCATGTTGGACAAAGTAAGTTTATCATGGACCTATTTAAACGAATAAGAATTTAACAAAGTTAAATGTGTAAGAAATATTAAAGTGGCGATTTATTTACTTCCATTTATTAAATGAAGTATATCATTGCTCGTTGCGCAAACTAATCTTTTAATTGATTAAAAAACAACTGACAAGAACTACTTAGTTTATTAATAAAATTCCTTTAAAAGGTAACACCAACCACCATGGTTTCTTAACCTTTCCTAAAGTGCTTGCGATTAATAAGTCATGTGACACATTATGTTGTCCCTCGTTTTTTTCCACTCATTGCGTTTACTTTATCTGAGGGGAAAAAGTAAATTGTCATATATCATAAATGAGCAGAGCCATGTTGACTTATTAAGTGCCAGCCACGGTAGCTTTCTCATCATCCACGGGAGCGTATCCTTGCTCCTTTTCTCATATCCTGCCCTGCATGTCCTTTGTCATTCTGTCACCGAATGCGTGTGTGTTTTTTTGTTGGTTGTGCGACCCTGCGGGTTGTCGTCCTCGCCTATGTATGCAAATGAAAGAGGAGGGCACCCAAAGTGGCTTCTGACTCTTTCCGTGGCTCTTGGATTGCGTGTGGGTTGTGCGGCACAATTGCCCGGATGAGAAGCTCTTGGCCATCCATCATGTGTCCTGGTAAGCGATGCATTCAATTCGTCATTTCTGCCGCAGCCACCTAAGTTAATGCACCTGAATGAAGAACTTTCTGGCTATCCATTGGTTCTGTACAAAAGCACTTACATTTTGAATTTAAAATATAATAAATGTACAAGTAATTTTACGGAAATATGGCGAAAAATATGGAATTTACATATATTTACTATTTCAACAAATCAATATCTTTTAAAACCATTTTTCGTAAATGTGAACCAAATTGAATTGTACTTTAAATGTTTTTCTTCTTATACTAAGTAATAACTATAGTTCAAGGTAAATATCATAGAAAATAGCCAAAGAATGACTAATAAAAACGTCAATTTACACCCACATTTTATTAGCTACGAAATGACTAACACTAACTTAATCCTGAGCCATCGAACTTATTTAAACCCCGGGACTTGTTTACGTCGTTTTCTGTGTTTTGCCCCCAGAAGCGTGGGCTGCTCTTGGCCCAATGACGTCGATCTCCGCCAACACAGGTTGATGGCAACCATTTGAAATTTATTTCACTCTTTACCCATTTTTCCCATTTTTTGGGGAATGCAAATGTAAATGTCTGATTGAGCATATGAATATCGACTTATCATTAGTTACAATTTCAGGGCAGTGGGAAAATTGAAATTAAATTTTACCGGAAGTAAATGAAACTGCGACACAGTCTGTGGAAAAGTGAGGAAAACGCCAAAGGGAAACTCAGTCCTGCGAACGAGCAGCTAATTGACAAACGCCAGTGAGTATGTGAGGGTGTATGTGTGTGTGTCTAAGGACGAAGGTCCTTGCTAGCGGGAAATCAGGTTACAGGAGTGGAAAACCCAACGCTTTTCAAATGCGCGATGTTGTCGTCGGAATTGCCTTCTAATTAGTGTTTATTGTTTCTCGTTGCGCCAAAGGTGTGGGCTAATTGTGATTATCGTTGAGCTTGTGTGGGTGTTACAGGAAGCTGTGTAACGAACAGACACTTAAAGCTCAGGAAAATGGCATCAAAAGGCAAAGGATTGCCAGGAAATAAGCTGGCTAAATACTGAGTTTATCAACAAAGAATTTAATTGAAAAATGGGTACAAAGAATTTCAGTTTTACGATTTGAAAGACTTAACAATTAAATTGTGACTTTTTAAATTGTTATATACCATACAGTAGGTACTATAATTATTTTCAATTAAGTAATTTTACCTACCTTATTTGTCACTATTGCTGCTCTCTTACCGCTTCCTTTATTTACTTCCTTTTAGACGCACTTTAAGCCACTCGAAATTCCGTTCTAGTTTATCTAATTTTTTTTATTGAGCTCCGGACACAATCAAAACGAAAGTCCTTGAAGGAAGAGCAGCAATTGAAGCGTAATTATTTGCTACGGCGCATTTCCTTGGCCGTGTGGCGTCGCTGGTCAAATGGCCAGAACCGAAACCGAGAACCGGAGAGAAAGGGAGGAAGGCACCGACGAACTTGGCACTGGGTCAGTGGCGCAGCATGGGATTTGCTGTCGTTGTTGTCTAGTTGTTGTTGTTGTGACTGTGATTGGTGTCCTGTCTGTGAATCTGAGCCAAGTAATCAGAATAATTACATGGCCCTAATGGCAGAAAATGTAAAAAAAAAAAGTTGCTCATTTTACAGTTGGCAAGTGATTCGCTGGGGAATACTGAAACTGCCCAGAAAAAAATTGTTGGTTGGGAAAACCTACTTCCTGTAGTATTTTTTTTTACAGTTTTGCTCATCGCTATTTACAAGTTATTTTGGGTTTTCAATTTTGCATAGGAAATGAGAACATTCTTAAGTTCCAAAACAACAGCTGCTTCAAAAATGTATGCAGGATAAATATGTGTTTACTTTAACGAAATAAAACTAACAATAATAATGGAAAATAAACAAAATTTAGGTAATTTATGTGGGGAAAATCCAAAAGCTCTTAGCTGTCATAAAAAGGCCCAAGGACACAGGCTGTTGTTTTATCGGTTTTAGTTTTGTTTATTCGTAATCAGATCCCGCAGATCCATGGCAAATATTCAGTGTTTTTCCTAGACACCCTCTTTCCACCAAAATAATATCCTTACTTTTTGATTAGTTTTTGTTGCTCACCCATCCAACCGAAATAAAATAAAGCAACAACCAAATCAAAACAAACGCAGGCGGTGGAACATAAAGTGATGTAATCGTGACACGCTTTAATAAATAACCACGCACAACCTAAGGCACACTTGTTGCTAGCTCATGCGGAAAATCATTTGGTTAACAAAAACCGTAATTTTTCATAGCCGGCATCAATTTTTAAATTGTCTTCCTCTCATTAACATTTTTTTTATAGTTTCTATCTTTATTCTATTTATAAAATATTTTATTTCTTAATTTAAGTTTGGGTAAATTATTAACCTTCACTAGTTCATCTTTAATCAGGACACCATATGCCGGCAACTTAAGAAATGAACAACAACAACAATCAACAAATCTCATTCGCATTTAGACACAAACTGTTATCAATAAATTAAAGCCAACACAAACGTTCACCATACCGGCAAAATTACGAGAACTGCGATAAGGTTTGGATAATCAAAACAGTATTCGAAGCATCCGCGTCCGAATCCTTTCAGGATAAATTATGAAGCACTCCGAGCTGGCTTATATAGGTTTGGCTCTCCCAAAAAGCCGCTGTGAATGCTTTCTCCCTGATAACTTTTCTCTCTTTATCAGGGGCGGACTCTGCAAATATTTGTGGGACCTTTATTAAAAACTAAATAGTCCTTGCGGGTTCTTTGTTAGTTAAAATAACAAATTAACAAATCGTCTAAGACTATCAAAAAATAAACCTTAAAGTTCTTAAAAACAAATCTTAAAACAGGAACAAATTATTCCTTGTCATTTCCCTTGTTGTTAATAACGGCCCTGCTCTCTATGTTAAGTCACTGTTAACAGTGAAAATTTCTTCCTTTCAAAGCACGGTTAACCAGCGTTGCCACCTTTTACTGGCGAATGCTAGCAAATGAACACTCAATTATGTACTCAAAACAATAAAAGACAAATGGTTCCCGACAAATTAAAACAATCAGTAATAAAAAAAAAAAACTTTTTAATAACTTTTGAAAAATCTTGAGTCTTTTCATATCAAGTAAACGGTCGATGACTGCTGCAAGCCCAACAACGTTGCCATATTTCTTGGGTCATCGATAGTATCGCAAAGCCATCGATTTTTGTTCAGCTCTAGGAAGTGGGCACGAAGAAAAGGGAAATACAACGCTGAAAATTAACAGCGGCAAAAAACGTTGTAAACAATTGTAATGTGCTCTGTGGTATAGCTGCTGAAAAGGATCGATTAATATGACGGAGACCTTCGACGAGGAGCTGTTTGAGACGCGGCTAGAGGCGCTGAAGGACACGCAGGAGGGCATCCAGCAGATGTCCAACTGGTGCCTGCAGCACCGGATGCACCACAAGAAGATCATCCAATGCTGGCTGAACGTCTTCAAAAGGGGTGAGTTCCGCGCAGGGCTTCATCCGCTTCGCAAGCTAATTAACTCGATCCTCCTCAGTTCGCGTGGACCATCGCCTGGTGCTGTTCTATCTGGCCAACGATGTCATCCAGTACAGCAAGCGCAAGCGCTACGAGTTCGTCGAGTGCTGGGCCACAGCCCTCCAGAGAGCCACCACCATGGTGCGGTAAGTACTCTCAGCCGGAAAAGATTACATATCCGCCTTTTTGGAGACCAAAACTTGTCAATAGTTTATAAAGCCAGTGTATTTAGTAGTGCGTCCTCTATGACTATCAAATTACGCTAGCAGAATATGGTTTCATGTGATACATAAGATTTTGCTTGCCTCAGTGTTTAGATACCAAAACTAGTGTTACCCTTTATACACTATTAAGTTACACTTTATCCATATAAAATTATAGCGAATTAATTTTAAATTTTTCCGCCAAAATGATTACGTTGCTTAAACGCGTCTTACTACTAGTAAGTTATCTCTTAATAAAATATTTTATTCTTCAGCGACGAACGCGTCAAAGACAAAATCCTGCGCATCTTTAAGATCTGGGAGCAGCGTGAAATCTATAACGAGGAGTACCTTAGCGACTTGAGCGGTCTCCTCAACATTGCGCCGCCCAAAAAGTCCCAGGTCGATGTCACCGAAGAGTTCCAGAATGCAACATTGATAGCCCAAGTGAGGGAGTGCGTCGAACTGGCTGAGACCACTGACAAAAGTATGCAGAAGTTGCCCAAGCCGCCAACCTTCGAGATCGAGGTCATCAAGCAGCAGCTGAAGGACAAGAGCCACTCGGGGGACATTGAAAAGGAAGTGGAGCGCTGTGTGGCCTTCATCAATGCCTACAACAAGAACCTGCAGAACGAGATTAAAAGTCGGAAGGCTGTACTGGCCAGTATCGAAGCGGCCAAAAAGTTCTACGAGCACCAGGGAAAGGAAGTCAAAGTGGTGGCCAGTGTAAGTTGATGATAAAGTACCTTTATACCTAACATTCTAGAGAACAATGCTTTTTATAGGCCTATAAAAGTTTTGGCACGCGCATTAAAATAGTGAAAAGAAAGCTTGACGAGACTATACCCAACCTGGCCAGCCCAATACCATCTCCTGATGTGAATGCTCCCTCGCCCGAGCGCGATGCAGATCTCCAGCTGCCGGAAGAAAACAATTTACCAATGGTAATATTAACTTAAGCTAACCAATGCCATAAAATGTTAATACTCTATCTCTTTAATAGAATCTGTTTGGCGGTAGTTTGAATGGCTTCTCTAGTTATCTGGATGGTGGCAAGCTGCCCTTTGACATTAACGACTTCAAGCGGGACTCGAAGGATCGGGGAAGTGCCATCGAGGTGATCGGTTCGCGATCGGATGACGAGGCCTATGTGCCGAGTGCAAATTTCTACAAGCCCGACACCATTTCCAGTTCCGAGAGCAGCGCAATACCGGGCCTTGGCGGAGGTGGATCCGCTGATTATACCCCCAATCCGCCCCTGTTTGGTTCCAGCAGCCAAGAGCAATATGTCCCGCCACCACCGTCGCATCTCTATGGTGGCAACGGAAGCGTAGGAGGCAGTGGAGGGCAGGATAATCAATACACTCCTGCGCCGATGCCACCGCCACCCTTACCACCATCTCTTGGACCCTCTAGTGGATCGGCCGATGATTTTAATAGCACCTGGAACATGAGCATGTCCTGGACGCCGCTGGACACTAGTTTAAATAGTAGTGGAGCGAGCTCCTCCTCGTATGCGAATCAATCGACACCCCACTCGCCGCCTCACTTTGAGAGAAAGGGCAACTCAGCAACTGCTCCACTCGAATATAACGAGCATCTGCACACCAATCCCGCAGCGCTGGGCGCCGAGGATGTGGACCATCGCACTCTGCAGCTCCCGCCTGCCTTCGAATTCGGTGCAAAGTTGGGTTTGAGCAAGGACAAGTCGCGGCAGCTGGTGGACATTGATCACAGGAATTTAATATCACTCACTGGCTCACCCGGCGGAGCGGAAAAGGTACTTTAGATTTGATTTCCACACATACACACAAATATTTCTCCCCAGGAGCAAGCCCTTGCTTTTCTATTTAGTCTGCGTTTCTATTAATATATTGTAGTCTTCGTTTCAGGACTTCACTGGCGGTGATGTTGACTACCGCATTGTACCGAATCCCAATGATGAAGGCATCATGGCTCCACCTGGCAATAACTATGCCAAAAACAAAACCAGTTCACCACTTAAATCCAATGCCAGTACGTGCACTTAGTAGTTTATTATATAAGATATATTATTAACATATATGATTCCCCAAGTAGGCTCCTCCTCTGAATCGGATCGCGTGGACGGTGCTGCCCGTTACGATCCCGCTGACATGGTGATTGATATGGACATGTCAGATGATGATATTGATGAGTCGTTGAGAGGTAATGCCACTACTTGTAAATCGTCGCTGAAATAAAAACCTATTTTAACCTTTTAGAGCCGAAGGAGAACAACGGTGAGGCTGAAGATGCCAATGGCGCCTTAACACCTTCGCGTCCCGTTCTGCTGGAGACTCCGTCGGAGTTTATTAATCCGTGGGAGTCGAATAATAGTTTTATGGGTCCACCCCTGCCCGATGAAGAGGATCAGCAGCAGCAACATGATCAACAGCAGCATCAGCAACAGGAACTCCAGCAACATCATCCACATCAACAGCACCAGCAGCAGCCGCCGTGGAACCAAATGAGCCCCATGCAAATGGGCGGAGGCGGCGCACCGCCACCGCCGCGACCTCCGTTTGGATCACCCTTTCCGCCCTTCCAGCGTTTCCCCGGCCCACCGATGAACGGTCCCGACGGGATGCAGCGCGGCCGTGGCAGGGGTCGGGGCTGGAACGGACCCGGACCGGGGCCATTTAGACCGCCTTATCAACGGATGTCCGGTCCAGGATTTGATGGTCCCGGGCCCGGACCGCGACCATTCTTTCCAAGAGGAGGAGGACCCGGCGGTCCTATGCGTGGACGCGGGCGCATGCGTGGTAAAGCTTGGATGATGTAATTACGTATTATATTATTAGATTTTAAAAGAGAGAATCCTAGTTTTAGTCTTCACCTATCTCACTTTGATTTAACTTAACGAAAAAAGTGTATTGTATAGAACAGATAACACATTAACCCCAAAAGATTGTCTTGGTTTCCCTTTGGGCGGTGGGCAGTTGACGTTGGCAGAAAATATTACACAATATTTGCATAATATTCCCTGCCCGAAGTTGTTAATTTAAGCAGAGGTATTTTATTTATGTCAATGTAAAATTTAGACAAAAAAATTCTACTAATCAAAAATCAAACTATGTTTGCAATTCGACTTATTCTCAAGTTAGGTTAAAAAAAAATTTAATAAAATTTATTTCAAGTTTTTTCAGTTATTTTTCTTTAAATAAAAAAAATAATATAAAATAAGACATTAAACATCATCCGTCGCCTTTGCCCAGGGAGATTATAAGACAAACACTTGCAAAGACTTTTTAATTTACACATTCACTGTAATTTAAGTTTAGTGTGTTGACCTAGATTAATTGTGTACTAACTATTAATTATTTGATCCGCCTTCGCTTATAGTTCTTAGTGCTTTACATTAATAATAACTAATGTAAATAGTTATAATAATAGTCCCGAAATGATTACTCTTGGTTCAAAAAGTTCTATGCTCTTCACAATTTGTCAATGATAATTATCTTCAACAAAAATATACAACAAATTGTTAATACAAATAAAAATCTAGAAAAAAAGCTATATTCGATCAGGCAAAGTTCTTAAACTCTTCTAGAGAATATCAACAGTCGCCCAATCAGCAATGTTTTCAAACTATAGATTCTCAAGTAATTATTAATGGGAAGAGAGACACAAATATTTATAGGTATGTGGTTTTGATTATATATACTGTCGACGGCATATAAAAGTTAACCAAATTTATGATCATAGTGGGTTATAAATGTTTGAGTATTTCCCCAATCTTCGATTTTTAATTAAGAACTTATTGTTTGCTGGATTGGGTCAGTTTACGGCTGTCTTTATTTATACATTTATTTTATCATAATTATTTTTGTTTATTAGTTGGGGAGATAATTGAGATTTGGTCAAACAGAAGAGTAGAGAACCATTGTCCAAGATTTATTTTGGAACTGGCAATATAATCTTTTAGTAGTAAGCTATAGTAAGATAATAACTGTAATTGTTAATATTAATACAAATGTGATATTTAAAAGATAAAAACTCGAGATTTCTTCTTTTGATTTACTGGAGCAGAGGCTTCCGTTTGGGATCCTGGATCCACCCACAATTCCCATAGCATTTACAAATGACTATGTTTAAATCAATTTTCGTCTACCGCTCGAAGGATCTAAGGCAGCGGCTGTGTTTATCCTCAGTGTTTACCTGTTGACGTTTGCGGCATTTAATCACTTCTGTTTTGGAGTTCCCTCACTTTGCGTCGGAAGTCGGAACTCATTAATTCTCCGTTTTCAACTGATGTTTTGACCTTTGCTTCTCGTTCGTGGGTGTGGCACACTCCCTACTTAGTCATCTCGCAAGGATAACAAGGATACCCTTTTCGGTTCGAGATGAAAGTGTGGCGAATGTAAACAAATGTTAAGAAGATTGATAAATTGATTTTAGGATGCATGTTTTAGCATATATTTATGGGAACTGTAAAAAAAAACAGTTTTCTCTGGATTAAGTATTTTATTAAGTAACGGCCTAAGTCTTCGTATTCAAATAATCGCATAACACTATTCTAAACTTCCTTAAAAAACCAAAATATTTTCTCTGACAAATTGCAAAATATATTATTAATTTTATTTATTCCACGCATACCAAAGTATTAAGCAAATAAAATATCCTGAGAATTACTTTTTAATTAACCTTTCCATATACATAACATTTTTCAAACAATTCGCATTCAAAGTAGTTCGTTTAAAATTCTGTGCTTTTATTAGACAATTTTTACTTATAATTATTTACAACTATGATAATAAACTAAAAACTAACAGCCTTTAAAAGTTTTCCACTAGGTCGAAAGTGTTGCTGCAACACAGCCCGCAAGGGTTTCTCCACTCCAAAGAAGAATGAATGGATGTCTAGTAATCTCTGGACAGCAACGTGACCAGATCTCCGATGTAGGCCTGGGCCATTTGTAGAGTTTCGTATTTGGAGAGCCGTCGGTCGTGGCCCAGAGAAGGAACCACATCCCTCAACTTGTCGAAGGCATCGTTCAGGCTGTTCATTCGCCTCCTTTCGCGGGCATTGGCCGCCAGTCGCCGCTTTTTCAGGACTTCACCGCCAAAACTCGCAGATGATGAACTGCTGGATGAGGCGGAGGATGTGGACGACGACATGGAAGTGGACAGCTTGTCGTAGGGTTTGCTCCTCTGCTGCTTGTTCCAGTACTTTGAACTCCTGCCTTGAATTTTTCCCAGCGGGTGCGACTGATGTTGCTGGTGCTGCTGCTCCTGGGCACTTAGCATGTGCTCCAATTCCAGGACAGCCGGGGTATCGTAGTACATCTCCAGGGAACAACTGTTGGTTCCCTCGGACTGACTGTCGCTGTTGCTAAACTCCTGCTGGTACATCAGCTGCTCCAACTGCTGGAAGGCATCGTTGCCCAGGAACTCGGGAATCGCTGGGGATTCGTCGGGGAAGTAGAACTGCTCCATTAGCTCGTTGTTGGTCAACATGTTTTCGTTTGCAGGCTCAAAGGACAACTGAAGTGGCTCCTCGAGGTTCAGGCCTTAAATAGCTGCCTGCAGAAAAGTCAGGCTCTTACGTGATTGGCTCAACTCAAATGCCTGCTACCTGATTCGCTGTCCCAAACTGATCCGATCCTCTCAGGTAACCAGAAACCTACCTCTCGAGGATCAAAACTCCAGCCCGTGCCCTAAATTGGCTTGCGGTCAAAACGTTTAATTGTACCTTACTCTCTCTCTCTCCCTTTCTCCTAGGTATTCACTGTATTCAGTACAGGTCGACTCCTTTTGTTTGACCTGTCATTTGGCTACCGTCTGTAATCATACCTCTTTTGTTATTTGCTCTGAAATTGACTTTTTATAGTTAAACAATTGTTGCCAAGGTCAAAATGCGAATCAACAAAAGGCGTTCGATCATGTGGGAATCATATTTGCAATTTTTGCATCCACCGAGGATTCCGTTGGATCAACTTCATCGCATGTCTGTGGTCTAGTAAGTGTTGGTTTGGCTTTCGGTCGGGCTTTCCACTTCTCGGGCAGAACAAAGAAGAATAATTTTGTTTGTGCGGTTTGCAACTTTCGATTTTAGTCGGTGGTACACACTTTATTAGGTCAAATTTATGAAGGTATTTTAAGTGGCTTTCTCTGAGCTTCCTGTACTGTATTACAACAAAGTATTCAATAAGAACTAGTGGCAAGGTTTACAACCAGAAGTACAATAAGTATATTTTATTTAAATTCCTATTGAGCTACGATAAAATCAGAATAACAAGTAATTTTTAACCGCAACGAATAAGTAAAATATAAATATATTTTATTTTTTTTAAATAATTTTAAAGTAAATAACTACAGCTTTAAATGACATTTACACTGATGCAAGTTTAATAACATTTCTTTATTCAGCACCAATATTAATATTTGTATTTTAAATAGACTTAAAATATTTTTAGATGCTTGTACAATCTCTTATTCCCCATATCCTACAAAACCCATTTGAACGATCTACTTTCCACACCGTAATCATTTCGAAATCCTGCCTGGCTCAAGCCCACTTTCAAGTGGCCGCATCGAAAGGATAATTAACTCCACAGACTCGCAGCATTAGGGGGAAAATCAATTCGAAGAGTTCGCTGAATTTCTAAAGAATACGGCCAAAACAATCGGAAAACACTGGCCAAAAAGAAGCGCCGGGCATGGCTAAAGAGTACAAATGATGCCACTGGAAGATGGACCAGATATTTCACACAAATTGTCAAGGAACAAAGTCGCCGAGCCGACAAAGGATCCAGACGTTTGATCTTGACGGTGATGATGATAGCTGATGGATGGATCGATCGATTTTGTCGAGAGTGCCACGCGACCGCAGCTTAGCCAAAATCCTGGCCCAGATCAAGCATTATGCTGCAATATTTTCGGGAGAAAGGTTCGCGGATAACCTAAAGATCGGTAACATCCCTCCAGAAAAGGATCTGGGATTTCCAATTAGCATTTTATCCAGCGCTACCTGAGATCTCGAGGGGTTTTCGTTCCTGGTCCTGTCAAAATAGCAACAATAGGTAGTTGGCTGGTGGGCGGTTCTGGTTGAAAGTAGGCACCTCTCTCTCTTTAAACCCGCTTCTTTTCTTTTTCTGACCAACAATAGGTCAACTGATGATAATCCTCGACTGCGTCAGGCGGTTGCGTGTTTCTGGGTTTTCCCTGCCAGATTAATCGTTTTCGTTTTGCGGATTAGTTGTTGGCGCTAAATTGCGAAAATAGGATTAGAAGTCAGAATCCCGAAGTCACAAGGAATTCCATGGGAATCTCTCCCTGTTCAGGCACTTGTTCATCCGACTCTTTGTTGTACAATACCAAACAATAGATCGATCTACTCTGGTTTTCTAACCTATTGTTGGCCACAAATGGTTTCGACTTTAGTGCCATTGTGTCTCGTATAATTACCATGTAATAATCTGGAATTATGAATTATTACATGCAATGGTTTGTTTGTTTCCATGTAAATTTGTTGTGGTCTCCGACTACACACAGATGTGCAAAAATTTCCAGACAGTTTGTCTGGCAAGGGCTTAAAAAATGTGAAAGTGAAAAAAATGAATTTAATTTTATAATGGGTATAGTAGAAAAATAATAAATTAGTGATGCTAATTATAACAAATGCATTTCCTTAAAAGAACACCGCTTTAAAATAATTTAAAATTAAAATTGATTGTCTTATAAATATTTAAATTTTTCCCAAGATCACTCGGCGCATGCGACAATTTCCACAAAACTCATGCCATAACTTAGACACACTTCAAGGCCTCGAAAAGGATACACAGGCTACCTCCTCTAACCCTTACTATCAACGAATGTCCGTTAGCAAGGATAGCGCCCCGAAAAGTGTCAGGCAATTGCGTGCGTTTATGGGAATTTATTGACACTTGAGCCGTGATTGGGATAAAAACAGTAACAAAACAGAGCGTGATCCTCGCAAGGACATGGGCAGGTAATCAGGGCCAAGCCGAAGTGAAACGGAGACCTTCCTTGATGGGTATCATAAATTGTCATCACATAAATAGTGCAACAACAGGATCGAGCGTATCCCGAGTGACATTTATGACTCTATTGACCGTCTGCCGTTGCTCCTGATTTTCTCGATGCTCCTGCTGGGCAATCAGTGTCCTCTTTTACACGTGACCCGCTTTCCTATCTTAATAAGCATTTAATGGTAGCGGTAAACGATTCACAAACAAAGTTCGAGGCAGATAAGAGCCCCCCGACCCGAAAAGCGGAAAGTGTTAATGGATGCTCCGATAAGGGAACAATGTGTAGGATATCATTTCCTATACTGGCGAAAATTCCGCTAGCCTCTTCGATAAAGACAACCTATTAAGACCTATTCGGATAGTTCTTTTGAAGTTTTAAAAATTCCTTAGTTAAGTACATGTTAAATAATCCACCATAAAACAAATTCTCAAATACATAAATAGATATTACTAAGTCTTTATTTAAAATATTGGAAAGAACTGATTACAATTAATGCTGTGATTAATAATTATATTATACGGTTAGTCACAGTTTCAAGTCTACACACACACAAAATTTATCTAAAACAATCCATCAATGTCTGTCCAAACTGTGAGGGACCTTTTAAAATGGCTTACGAACTAAGTGCATATGAAATCATCAATTTTACAACCGCAAACTACTGCGGTTATCTAATACTTGTTGCCGTTCGGTATGTTTATTCGTAAAGTAGTAGTAGATATATGTTTAATCACAAATAGGTTAATATCGGTGTGAGTTCGGTTGGGGATGAGTCTAAAATATGTTTATGTTTATTATTTTTCATCAGCTGGAAAATGGTCCGCATGTGTTTAAAATTTCTGCATAATTTTTCTGATATGATACTAGGCTTTGATTACGATATTAACTGTCCTGCGGGTCTGTGCGAATAAATATTAGATTAGCTACAACATAAAAATAAAACACTAAATATTAGTTAGGGTGAGACGATGTGCACAATTTAAAATAATCATCTAGACAGTTTTAGAGAGCTAAAAGAACCAATTATAAAAGCAAAAGCATTATAAATATATTTTTAAATTATGAAAACAATACTTCTTAATCTCATAGTTTCTTTTAGCAAATCGTCTCACCCTAATGGTTAATATTTCATGATTATGCCTAAAGCACACAGAAACGCACACAACGATCTAAAAAAAAAACCCTCGCCATTGGTTTAATCCGGTTGCTCTCTGAATTTTATCACTCATGAAAATGGAAATGCAAATATCTCCCTTTCGATGTCTAGAGCGTTGTGGAGGTCACCGTGCTGACACCATGAACGAGAATTGTGGGCGGTAACTCAGCGGTCAGTTCAGTAAGCAGTTCCATATAGCTGGCGCTCCGTTGCGCGAAATCCTGCGTGGAGAGCTTCGGCGGAGCGGACAAATAGATGAACGATAATGCCGTCTGATCCGAACGTTCGCGTATGATTTGATTGGCCCGCTGCATGTAGAGCAGCGAACGATTCAGCGTCTCCTCACCCACTTCGTCATCATCCTCCAACAGCACATTGTCTGCCTGAGCTGTGAATTGCTTCAGAGTGCGGGCATGTCGGCTGAAATCTGTATCCCTGCCCCATTCCTCGATCTCCACAATGTCGGCTGTGATGCGCAGTTCCTTGAGGGACTGCTCCAACTTTGTCTTCGAGAATATCTCCATTTGCGGAACCTGAGTGTCAAAGGTGCTGGGGGAAAAAAAAGAATATCTATGATTACATCCCTTTTGCCGATTGATAAATTTAACTTACCCAACTGTGCGCTCTTCGCCGGCCTCGCACAGGAAAATTCTTACTCGCAGGTGCTTCCATTTGGCCAGCATTATCACCGCCAATTGCATCATAAATAAGGAAACCATATCGAAGGGATCCGCAGATGTGGGATTAAATATATTAATGGGCCACACATCAATGTACTTTACATGCTTGCTTCTGCAATCGAAAAAATATATTCAAATACATATAATCATAAATTAAAATATCTCCCACTCACATAGATATAAAGTTTTTATCCAATCTTTGAAAATTCCTGCACAGACAGAGATTTTTCTTCATCCTAAGAGTGTCGCAAAGAATTTGCACATATTCTTGAACTTGAAATTGTTTGGGATCCCCATCACGTCGAATGGGAAAGTTTTGGATTTCGCCAGTGTTAAAATCATCGGTTTTATAGGGGGAGGAACCGCTGAGATAGGGAAATATATAAATAAATATAGCGTTTGTAGATAAAAGAGCTTAACTTACTTTTGAAAGAAGTCCCTTGGAGCTTCGTTGTCGTAAAAACCCAAAATAATTGTGTTTGGCTTCATGGCTCCAATTCCCGACAGGCGAATCAAGTGCTGGACTCCCTCGCGGATGCTCCTGCTCAAGGTAACCTCTGTGAAGGCCTTGACTCTCATGTGATCGAGGAACGACCACCACTGCTGGTTCTCCTCGGCATCTTCCACGCCCTTAAAGTCACCCACTTTCACATGACCAATGATGTAGAGACCACTCTTCTTCAAGTCGTTGACAAAATCCACCAAAGGACAGCAGGAACGTGGCGATGATACCAGCAGCAGAATTTGCGGACGCCAGAACTTAACGTGATCTTTGCGGGGATCTAACATCAACAGATATTTTCGCACCTGGTGGAACATTAAAGCCTGGGATATCGAGCCCCATTGAGCTGCCTGAGTGGCTGGCGAGAAGAGATGCAAAGCAATCACCAGGATGAGGCACAAAATGATGCAGGACGATGCGTAGATAGGATTAATGACGAACATCATGATCAGAGTGCCCAGCAGTCCAACAAGACAAGTGTGCCAAGTGAAGTACTTGAAGAGCGGTCTAAAGTTTGGAGCTCCCGTAAGCTCAATGCCCAAACAAGCCAAATTGGTGGCCAAATAGGAGAGCATAAAGAGCACAGAGTTTATCTGAGCAATAATGTTGAAGGATCCAATCAGCAGGATGCACTCCACGAGGCACCAGCTCACCGCAACCGCTGCAATGGGATTGCCCTTCCAGGTTCCGTGAATCACAAAGTTCAGCAGGCTGCCAAACACTTGGTCCTTAGACAAGGCCTCCAAAATTCTGCTGGAACCAATCAGATTGCTCAAACTGGTCGAAAAGGTAGCAGTCAAAATTCCAATTGCCGTAAATGGCGGCCACAAATTCACAGGCATCAGGAACAGATAGTTATTCTGCATGGTGAAGTACGGAGTTGTGCAGCTCATCAGGAAGGAGAGGATGATGTAGGAAACGAAGGTAAATGCCACGGCGGACAGTGTGCCCCAGGGAATGCTCTTCGAAGGGTTCTTCAGCTCCCCGGACATATTCGCTCCAGCCATAATTCCCGTAACTCCCGAGAAGAGCACACCAAAGGTGGTGGAGAAGTCGACTTGTTTTCCATTCGAAGTGTAATCCTGGCCATAGTGCGAACCGAGATTTTCTCGCAACGTGTTGGCACTGAGACCGGTATAGTTGAGAAAGGATATGTTTTTAGATAAACTATTTTCCACGGGCACAGGTATCTAAAATCAATAAAAAGGATGCATTTGTATCGTCGCAAGATAAAACTGTGTAAAAATAAACAAAAAAAGCTTATTTATAAAGAACTACTATTAGAACAAAGTTTCGCAACACACACACACATAGTTTACACTTGCATAGTTTATAAAGTGCATTGGACACGCTCTCTTCATGACTCAAACTGTCTTATCAGGTTATTCCGTCTTTGGTTTTGGTTTTTAATATTTGTATGTACACACTCGTTCATATGTGAATTTAAAAGGGGTTTATTTAGAAAAACGAGATAATAAAGACGCATTTTTTGAGTAGTTGTCTTTAATATTCAATTGTTTTCCTTTATGTAAATGTTACCACTTCTTGTAAACAACTTTCGTTTTTGTGGGTTTTTTCTTCTTATGAATCAACCAAAAAATGTATTTTATCAAAAAATATTTTGACAAAATCCCCCTTGAGCCAGTAGTTTAAAGCATAGTAGTGAATCAACATTTATCAGCCTTGATAAATCAAGAACAAATATTTAAAATAACACAAATTAAGCACTAGATAGCCTAGATATCGATAGCACATAAAGTCTGATAAGCGTGACAGCAGGGCTTTTGCTCAGCGAGCAACTACTGTACACACGGAACAATAATAAAATAATTAAAGTGTAAAATTTTAACATTATCTACCATAAAAAACTGTTTGTTTCTTATCGGATGTTTAAAAAATATTATTTTTTTCGGTGCATGGGATATCTTACCGTTGTGGCGCCCATAGCCAGGAAACTAATGTACGTGGCCAACAGGCAAACGGTCACGGTGCCCAAAATAAGCACTGACGTCTTGGCGAATAGAGCGGCTCCCACGAGGCAAACCAGCAGCTGCAGGGTGTTTATCAGGCTGCTGGTGAGGAAGCGCCACCATTTTCCATCCGGCAGCGATGCATCTGCGCTCACGAAATGGCCACCCGGTCCGAAGTTATCCATGATTCCTTCAGTGCAACCGGAAATGGCCATCGCAGATCCAACGACGTTGGCAAAGAAGAAGAGCGTTCCAATCGAACCGCCAAATTCTAAGCCCAGCGTTCGGCTTATCATAACTAATAAAAAAATATAACATATTATATTGCTTATTGCTTACAGTAAAAAAGGTCCTAATTATCATGTCTATGTTTGCACTTCAAATTATGTAAAATTTACTGGTGATTTAAGTTAATTTCACTTAAGTAGTCACAGATCTTAAGTTTTTAATGTTGTACTGTATATAAACTAACTGATGGGTTGTCTATCAAAGTAAAAAGCTGTCTTGTTATTTATAATTTCGGAACAATTACTCAGTCAATTCTGAGTGATCACAATAGTATTTAAGCATCTGGTGTTTTGCCAGGGCTTATCAATCATTTGTATGTTTTTTGAACCTACTTGCACCGAAAACTCATCAAGGGCTTTAACAAAGAATAAATGCCAAAAATATGTTAGCAACTCACAGTAAACACCTCCTCCTTCGATTGCTCCATTGGTGGAAATTGCACAAACCGATGCCACGGTGAAAAGTAAAATTCCGTAGGCGATGAGGAATTGCAGTAGTGTTACATACAAACCCGCATTTCCGACGATATAACCTTAACAAAGAGATTAAAATAGTGAAAAACCGAGTTCAATGGACCATCACAACAAGTGTCATGACGTCACCACGGAACTTACCAACTCGAATGAAAACTAAAGCACTAAACATAGATAGGGCCACCGGACTGAAAACACCGGCAAAGGTGCCCAGCGTACGGCCATTCCGATCCGGATCCTGCATTCCAAACTCCACATATCCATCGCCATCCTGCGGACGCTCTCCGCTGGTCTGACTGCCGCCGAATAGGGATCCGAAACTCCGGAAAACACTGCCCGTTCGGCCGTTCCGGGAATTCGCAATTGGAGCCGTCTCCTGCTCCGCGGAAGCGCTCATTTCGAGTTCCGTGATGCGGTTGCAAGAAATCTGGAAACACTAAAGACTTCCTAGCGAACGCCTACAATTTCCAGCTGTCGCAAACAAATAAGAATAATCAGCAACAAGGACGGAGACAACTATCTTTTTGATAGGGTACATAATAAAATTACTACTTACTCAACTCTTACGTTAAGCTTAAAAAAGCTGAACTACTTAATTCTTCAAATGTTAAAGTTCCTTCGAATTTGTATCTTGTATATTCGGATATGAAAAGCTAAACAGTATCCATTATTAACTTGTGTAGGAGCTTTTTACCTCTATAAACCCCCACTACGCCTATGACTATAATAATGTGGCAACATTTTTAAACATACCAAGCAAATAGTATGAAAAATACTGTTTATTGTTGCAGTATATATCGTCTGCTTATCGATATTCCGGTTTAGAAGAGCGGGAGTTTTAAAATCACTTTATTTTTAGATTTAATTGCAGTTTCGTTTTTCCTAAAAATACCATAATTCCATTTACACTTCTGAGAACGTACCTTTTTTTTGTAAGGAAAAGCAAAGAATGTCCAAAACCGAAAAATGTTTTGAAAGCTTGCGAAAGTGCAAATGAGAATAACCCATGGATGACTAAGTGAATTTTTGATAAGCCATCATTGTCTTTAAATATAGTATAAAGCTAATTAGTCGGCATTCTTAAGAATTGATAATAATAATATTGCTCTTGAAGTAGATAAGACGGGGTTTTCTTGTTGGTACTTTTCTATAAAAGTGGGAGCCCAATTGAAAGACTTTTTATCATTGTGAATTAAAAATCCATAATGAAGGTTCTGCAATTTGCTCTAGTGTTTTCCGCCATCGTGGCCATTGCTTTTGCTGCCAATGCCAGTTGGGGAGCTAAGTTATCCAGTAGCAAGCTGGCAAGCACCCAGAACGTGACCATTTACAGGAAGCTCAATCAAACTGTGAGCGACTTAATCATTTTCCCCCTGAAAGTAAGTACTTAAAAATTTTACCTTAAAAATGTATCATACTAATTTTTATTGATTATAAAGGGCCAGACCAACACCAAAACGATTCGGTTCATAAGTATCACTGACAGATTTACCAACAGCTCGGGACCTTATTCCACCTTGAATTCTGGCGGTCCAGGATACACCAGCGCCAGTATCAATGTCACTAGTCAGTGGGCCCAAGGAATTAATGTCACTGCTCAAATTTGGACTGATGCCTAAATTAAATATGTAAATAAAAAATTGATTATATTAAAGCAAATAAAAATTTGTTAAAAACATAGGTATTCAAGTTTAATTAATTATAGTATATAGATAAGATAAGACTATTGTCTGATATAGATTTGAATTTGCATGTTCACGCCAAATGGATATTTGGTTAATTGGATGATTTTTAGAAAATTAGTTCAATATGAAAGATAATATAATTCTCAATATATTTAATTTGTGAATTCGTTATTCGTACATATATGTAATTTTAAAAAGCTGTTAAGTGGAGGTACTATCGAAAACAAAATGCTATCGATACATAAAGCGCTCATCATTTTCCAACACTACTAAAAAACAGGTCCAATCAGCTGTTATTTCTGAAAGCCGAAAACGTTTAGACAACTTTTCTTAGTCCGGAGAAAAAACAATGGTAAACGAAAAAAAGCGTCGCTCGCGGTCGCGAGAGCGTTACAGGGAGGACCGGCCGGCCGTGGGGAATCCCAGAGATCGTGAGCGGGACAGGGACCGCGCGAGGGAGCGGGACCGGCAGTATGAGAGGGAGAAGGACAGACGCCAGCGACGTTCGCGTTCCCGGTGGGTTTTTTATTATCCATAATTGTGAAATACGTCTTATAAATTAATTAATTCTTGTTTTCCAGGGAGGATCGCGGCAGGCGGAGGTCACCAGAACGTCAACGTCCTCGCGAAAATGTGCGGGAGCGATCCAGGGAAAGGGGTGCTGGAGCCGGTGGAGGAGGTGCTCCAAATGGTGGCGCTGAAAAGAAACCCAAATTAGATTCGGCAGATGCCCCACCTAAACCCTTAATAGTCGAAGATGGGGAGCACCAGGAGGAAAAAGAGGCCAAGGTAAAAAAGGAGCCACTCTCGCTGGAGGAGCTGCTGGACAAGAAAAAACGTGAGGAAGAGGCAAGAAGCAAGCCAGTCTTTCTCACAAAAGAGCAGAGAGCCCTGGAGGCTATTAAGCGTCGCCAGGAGGAAGTAGAGCGCCAGCGGGCTGCTCACGATGCAGCACGTGAGCAAATGGCTGCCGCCAGTAAAGTGAGCATCTCCATGGGCACGGCCATGGCATCAGGAGCTCCTCCGCCGGCTATCATGGCACCGCCACCCAAACCAGATCGTCGTGAAAGAGGTGGAGGACGAGATCGGGGCGACAGGGGTGATCGCGGCGAAAGAGGCGATGACAAGCGGGCTGAGGACCTCACCCACAAAGATAAAGAAAAGGAACTGGAGGCCATTAGGGAGCGCTATCTTGGCATTATAAAGAAAAAACGTCGCGTTCGTCGACTCAACGACCGTAAATTCGTTTTCGATTGGGACGCCGGCGAAGATACTTCCATAGATTATAATAATCTCTACAAAGAACGTCATCACGTCCAATTTTTTGGTAGAGGAAATGTGGCTGGTATCGATATCAAAGAACAGAAGCGCACCCAAAGCAAATTCTACGGAGATCTTTTAGAGAAAAGACGAACCGAGGCAGAGAAGGAACAGGAGAAGGTGCGACTTAAGAAGATGAAGCGCAAGGAGGACAAACAGAAGTGGGACGATCGTCACTGGTCAGAAAAGGACAACGATGAGATGACCGAGCGTGATTGGCGTATCTTCCGGGAGGACTACAATGTCACCATTAAAGGCGGCCGCATTCCCAATCCTATTAGGAGTTGGAGTGAGTCCGGGTTTCCGAAGGAGATCATCGACATCATCGATAAAGTGGGCTACAAGGAACCCACGCCCATTCAGAGGCAAGCTATTCCCATTGGTCTGCAGAACAGGGATATTATTGGCGTGGCTGAGACTGGTTCCGGAAAAACTCTGGCTTTCCTTATACCTTTGCTTTCTTGGATTCAGTCGTTGCCCAAAATCGAACGTCTGGAGGATGTGGATCAAGGCCCATATGCCATCATCATGGCTCCCACGCGTGAATTGGCCCAGCAAATCGAGGAGGAAACAACCAAATTCGGACAACCGTTAGGCATTCGAACTGTAGTCGTTGTGGGCGGTTTGTCCAGGGAAGAGCAAGGTTTCCGACTGCGCTTGGGTTGCGAGATCGTCATCGCCACTCCCGGTCGTCTTATTGATGTTCTGGAAAATCGTTATTTGGTACTCAACCAATGCACTTACATTGTGCTCGATGAAGCCGATCGTATGATAGACATGGGTTTTGAACCGGATGTCCAGAAGATTCTGGAGTACATGCCAGTGACCAACCTTAAGCCCGACACGGAGGAAGCTGAGGATGAAACCAAGCTGATGGAGAACTTCTACACCAAAAAGAAGTATCGCCAAACCGTGATGTTCACGGCAACGATGCCTCCGGCAGTGGAAAGATTAGCTCGCTCGTATCTCCGTCGACCGGCAACGGTTTACATTGGATCCGTAGGAAAACCGACGGAGAGGACGGAACAAATCGTTTACATGATGGGTGAGAACGACAAGCGCAAGAAGCTCATGGAGATCCTGTCGAGGAAGATCGACCCACCGATCATCATCTTCGTCAATCAAAAGAAGGGCGCCGATGTGCTGGCCAAGGGCTTGGAGAAACTGGGCTACAACTCGTGTACATTGCACGGTGGCAAGGGCCAGGAGCAGAGAGAGTACGCTTTGGCTGCTTTGAAATCGGGCGCGAAGGACATCCTTGTGGCCACCGACGTCGCTGGTCGTGGTATCGACATCAAGGATGTGTCGCTGGTCATCAACTACGACATGGCCAAGACCATCGAGGACTACACCCATCGTATCGGTCGTACGGGTCGTGCTGGCAAGACTGGTTGCGCCATTTCGTTTGTCACCAAGGACGACAGTGCTCTGTTCTACGATCTGAAGCAGTGTGTATCTGCTAGTCCAGTCTCGACCTGTCCGCCGGAGCTGATGAATCACCCGGAGGCGCAGCACAAACCGGGCACGGTGGTCACCAAAAAGCGTAGGGAGGAGAAAATATTCGCCTAAAATGGCGTATTTCGAACATAACTACATTTAGGTATAAGTTTAAAAACAAATAAAGTTGGAAAAGCCAAGTCCTGGCATCCAAATTTCATTTTGGAAATGATTGTTTGATAAATAGAAAAACATACAAGTTAGTAGAAATAGTTATCATATATTTAAAACACTCTCATCTTTGTAATCTTAAAAAGAAGGCATTCCTGCTCTGCTTCGAGTCCAGTGGCATGTACTTGTCATAAAAGTCCAGAATGATCTCCTCCATTTTAAACCCAAACTTTTGGTACAACATCACAGCTGAATTGCTGGCGGAAACGTGCAGCGTAATGTCTTTGGACATGCACGTCTGGATAAGATGGTAAAGCATAACACTAGCGATGCGACTGCGTTGCCAATTTGGACGCACGGCCATAAAGGAGATATAGGCCTCATTATAACCCACATCGGGAACCAGGAACCCACAGCCGATGACCAGTTTTTTGTACAGGGCCACTACACTGTAGTCAGGATAGCTGAGGCACTCACTCACTGAAAGAAAAGAAAAGGTTTATATGTATATGTTTCATCAATATTTTAAGAAAAAGTAAAACCCACCATCAATATTTGGCCAAAAAGCGCTCTGCAGCAATGCATTCACCGCCGGAATATGCTGCGGTCTCACATAGCAAAAGTCGATGGTTGATCTCGTGGGATGCGAGCGATTCACTCGATGCTGCAGCTCGCACATGAGTTTCAGCCAGGGAGGATCCATAGTTTCGCTCCGAAAGATGAAGGGATGGAGAACCCTCTGGGAGTAAGGCGACTCAAATAGCTCGTACTGAGTACAACCTGCTAAGCGTGCGAGGAACGAGCTCCTTGCGTCCTGCCGCGAATGCGCCAAGAGCTGATATCTATCCAATATTTGAGCCTGCTGATGACCCTGCATCTTTAACCGAGCCCTTCCCGAGGGATCTATATGTTCATCCAGGTTAAATATAGAGCGATTGTGTTCCCTTTTCCACTTTCGTAGAGAAAGCTTTCGATACATCCGCCTAACATAGGCGGGAATGTTTATTTGGCATTGTTTCTCCAACGAAATAATACGATGAAGACGTTTATACAACTTCTGCTCCTCGTACACACTGATAAGTTGAAGATTCTCACTGGGAATGGCCAGATCATCTGAATCGTGGGCCTCCTGCAACCACGGCCAATTTCTACGTGGCTGGCGAACAAAACCACTTGGCTTGCAAGGCTCTATAAATGTTGATTGGTTCTGTAAAGTGTCATCTTCACCCAATATTTCCTCTTCTAGTGGCTCCTCTTTAACGGTCTCACTTGGGTCTTGCGCTTGGTAATTTGTAACCTGCACTATGCGTGGTTGATAGGCGGAGGATTCCTCCTCTTCGCCTTCTTTTTGCTCATCCCCACTTTCGCCGCTCGTTTCTTCGGTTGAATTGGTTTTGGTCTCCTCTTTGATCTCTTTGGTTCCTTTTACATTTTCTGTGGTACTTGGTAAGCTAAAATCTGTGTCCATCTCGTGCAGGCCTCCACTAGTTGAAGGCGCTTCCAGCAAAGGTTCGGTCATGAAGAAATCGCTCTTACCCGCTCCAATCAAAGGAGGTGGCAGGCTACCAAACATACCAAGATCATCTACTTTGAAGCTCTCAGTCAGAAAATCTAAAAGGTTGGCTTGAATCATGCTCATAGATTCTTCCTGTGGTTCCTCTTCTTCCACATCCTGCCTGGGAGGGGGAATACTTTCTTGAGAGGATGGTGTTGGCGGAAGTGGTTCTTCTGGTACGGATAAAGGTGTTGGGGGAACTTGTGGCTGGCGACCCATATAGGGACTGAAAAGGGTGGGGATTTTCGATCAATAAATGAATTCAGAGAAGGTTTAACTTCATACATGGTACGGGCGCAGCCCATTGTTATGTTGGTTGAGTCAGTTTCAACCTTTATGTGCTGGGCGTTATCCTGGCTATGATCGGTCACTGAGATCTCACTGCTGCAGCTGGTCTCATCCCCGGCTGGCAAACGCTTTTCAATGCGCAATTGCAGACGCTGCTGTTGCTTTTTCTCATCTAGTAGGTGAAATAGGTAAAAGTTAATACCTTCTGCAAAAAGCTTTTTTACTTCTTTTTTAGAAGTTCTTACATTCTCTGAGGACACTTCTGGGTGTTTGATAGGGCTTAGCCAGTTTCCACCATCCGTTCTCCTGAAAAACGTCTTGCCCCGATTGAAAAAACTGCGGACTGTTGTGCGACAGAGCGCCGGAAACGGAACCAGTCCATTGCTTCCGTCGGCGCCTGAAATCACAGAATTCATCAGTAAAATTTAATTGAAAATTGACTTATATGACCCCTTACACATTTTGTCCAAAGATGTAGTTCCAGTTCTTGTCCACAAAGCTGATTATGTGAGTGCGCCAGTGAAAGAACCCGTGGTGGCCTAAGCCCTTCTGTTTGACCGACAAATTGTACAGCGTTAAGGTGAGCACCAGAAGCCATGGTATCCTTTGTCGCACAAAGACCTCTTTAATGGGCTTCAAGGATGTGGGCACTTCTGATTCCTGCATCTTGTCCACCACGCATTTGACGCACGTGAACTCAAAGAAGACGTCGCCCAGAAGATCGCCGGGCGTGCTCGCATGCGGTAGGCACTTGATGTGCACCATCCGACGACACTGTTGGCACTCCAGGTAGTTGTCATCCTCCACCGCCAGCTCACAGTACCTGCAGGGTCCTTGGGGCTCGTCCCAGCTACTCGGTCGATTCATTTGGGGGAGTAAATCGCAGAAAATCAAAAATAAACAAACTTATGTTTGTTGTGTTTGCGTTTAGCGATTTTAGGCTGCCACACCGCAGAAACCATTAGTGTGGCAACGACGTTTTGGTAGTGCTGCCATATCTGATTTTGGAATACAGAGCCGCGCAATTTGAATTAAAAAAAAAACCGCGTTGGCTGGATTAAATATTTTTTAAGAACTTTAAGTAACGTTGGATGTGGAGATGTACAAAAATTATTTACTTCATTTTAAGCGATGCATTAAAATGGTTATTGTAGATGAGGGTGAAATAAGAGCCATTCAATTTTTCTTCAAGCCAAAAACAATTAACATATGTAAAGCGGAACATTCGTCCGTATTTTCCTTGACATGTGAAATCTGGCGGATTTGTGCAGTACCGAACCGACGGTTGATCAAATAAGCGACTGTGACGCCCTCCGCCCACAATCACCGTTCATCGGCAATGCACCGAAAATGACATTAATGGGCTCTTTACGGCTTACGCATAATTAAGACCGTTTTCGCCAGGCTCGGTCTTTGGGCTTGGCCATGCTTTTGGCCCGGTCAATGTGTTGTCTTAAGCGGGCCTAATTAGGCATCGCAAGCTGTTCTGGTTCAGCTGGAGCTGTTGCTTCTGCTGCTGTTGTGTGTTTGATGAAGTGCATGATTGGTTTACGGGTTCAAGCGGTGTTTTCCCATACCCCATGAGTTGGTTGGACAAATTTAAGGACATTCAGTCGCGTTTAAAAGCTTTACAGATTAAAAAATATTTTCCTAAAACTATTTATTCATAAATAATTAACAGTTCTTAAGCAAAGTTTAATGTTGTAGAAAATAAAATTATTTTTTCAGAACTATCAACAATTTAAAATAAAATGTTCTAGCAGGGAAATAATTTAAAGATTTGAAAGATTTTACTTGATTTTTTGTTCACACTTTTTTATTGTTTTGTTTTTTAACATTAAATGTTCATACTGAATTGAATTTATTCAACTTGTTTGTATGGCGCCCTCGAGGAGATTTTCATTTCATTCGCGACTGCCCGCTGGCACGTCGGAAAAAGCTGAAAATACATGTTGAACTGAATTTAATTTTGTTGCTTGCAGCAAAAACCGATTATAAAGAGACAAACTACTGAGTTATGGCTTAAAAATTCTTTAAAATCTTTCAATTGCGACAATTTCCTTGGACAATATCTGAGTGTAGGTAGCTGCTATATTCAATTTCTATTTCCTGAAGACAACCTTCTCGAATAAGCATGACAAATGGAATAGAATCACTTAAGAACTATGACATTTACAGATGTGATGCTGGTAAGTATTTGATTGGGCGCCCATTTTGTTCATAACAACCGTTTTGCTCTCAATCAGTAGATTTTGCCCACCTTTAGCACTCTCCTCTTGGCTCTCCCCATGACAGTAAGTACAACAAGGTTATGGGGTTGACCATTTTCCGAGCGATTTAAGGCCAGGTTCTGGAACAAAGAGAACAAGGCAGGGAATGGGATATGGAGGCATCCCCAACGAGGGCGGCAAACAAACGCCGTCTGGCTGTCACTTAATCGAAGCCATTAGCGTTATTAGTGGGTACCAGCCGATGCACTGAGAAAAAACAATATAGTGTTAAAATTCAAATGAACAATTAGTCAAAAATTAAATGATATCTGGTAGTTATAGTTTTTTTAAAAATATAAAACATTTAAGTACATGTTTATGAATGACTTTGGGTAATTTATAAAACTTATTCTATTCCCAGGCTTGGCTGGCAGCCAAGTAAAGAGCAAATAATGTCTGAACGTTATGAATATAGTCCGCTTGCGACTCCAAAGGTCCTTCCACTCCGAATCTCTCGCAAAGAACTCTCACATAGTCAGCCAAAGATATATTCTGCTGCAGGCAAGATCTGTAGGCCTGATCTAAAGCATTCTTGGTTGCGTCATCGCCAAAAGATCTTGGCCAATCCTCCAAGAGGGCGTCTATATCCTTTCTGGGCTGAGCATCGTACATCGCTTGAGTCATGTGCACCTGTTCCACTTCTGAGATCCATTTGTCAATATCCTTGGCCGATCGGGCGGTGGGAATAAGAGAAGCTGAGGAGGCATGACGGGGATTACGCCCCATGCTTCCACTTAACACCGATCGGAGTTTCATATTCAGGAGACTGGGTTCACTTTGAGTGCCAGATGGTTCGTCGAGCAGCCACAAGCCCAACTTAGCCAAGTGGTCATCCAACTCCTTCTGCCGTTGCGGTTGCAAAAGTGGAGGAGCCTGGACTTTCAGCAGGGCATCCACATCTCCCACTGCGGGCACAAATTCCGGGATAAATGGTTGCAAATGAAACGGAGTCTCAATCGTTTGTGGGGTGTACTTCACGATATAGGGAAAGAGATCCTTTAGGTCCCCTGGTAAGGATAGTTCCTCCCATTTATCCGGACTCATGCTGAAGGATTGTTCTTCCTGCCGCTCGGATCTTCCTGCTCCGCCAGCACTGCTCCTCATCGGGAGGGTTAACTTATGGTGCGGTAGCTTGGCACCTCCTCTTGCACCTCCCGATCCAGATCCCATTTCTCCTCCCATGGCTGCCTCCTCGCTCCCGGAACTCATGGTGTCATCCGGCTGCTGCTTTGAGCTTCGATTGCTTCCTGGCCGTTTTTGGGAGTGTTGTCCCGGTACCAGGCCTGTCATCCCCACACCCATGGTCATTCCTTGGGGTAAGTGCATCTCACTGTCATCGTCGTCATCACTGTCCTCCGCCTCGTCGTCGTGATCAATGATGTCCTGCAGAAGGCCATCGTCATCCGTAGAGTTGCTTTGGAATTGCTTTGAGAAGGATCGAAAAAACAAACGGAAAAAATTATCACGCTGTTGTTTTTTATCATATTGACTTATAAAATGGTTTGGCTGAAAAGTAACCAAAATTAAATAATGCTAAGGCCGTAACTTTTCTAATTTCAATCAGATTTTGAAGCAGTCCACCTATTAAAGTAATTTTGTTTCTTTGATTTTGTATAAATAAATAATTGAATTAAATGTCTAAAATCTAGCGACTAAAGCTAGCGTCCTTTCTTGTTAAATAAATAAAACACAATTTTTTTAAGGTATGCCACTTTGAAATCGAAGTTAAATTGCATAAAGAACACTTTGAAATCGTCTTAAGACTTGTTGAATTAAATCCTACTTTTTCGCTCGACTGTCTCCTTATTAATTTGAGTATCACTTTTTATTAACTGATTTTACGTAAAAAGTTCTTTACCATTCGACGATGCCTGCCTGCGGCGGCTCTTTGTGCACCTCCAGTGGCGCCGGCCGCCCGTCCTTCGCCGCCCAATGTGCCTCCTCCTGCGCCACCCCCTCGGCCAACGTTTGGTCCACCATTTCGCGGCTCCATTTGAACACTGCTCAGGTGCTTGGAGTCGGGTCCGCCGATTGTGATCTCCTCGTCGTAGAAGTTCATGGCCATGGCCAGCTGCGAGGACCTGGATTCAAATTCAAATAGCTCTCCAGCTGCGAGTCCTCTCAAGCTATTCAGTTTCCCTTCTCCGTTTTCCTGTCCACTTCCTGGTTTTCCGCGAAAATCCGCACAACACTTGTCCTGCAATTTTCCGCTCCTTTTTGCAGGTGCCAGGCTCTCGTCCTTGTTTCCTTCCTTCAGCGCGGAGTTTTCTTTATAACGAAATATTCGGGGTTTTCAGCGTTTTCCGTTTTGTTTTGGCTGCTTTTACTTGCTTACCTGCTGGAAAGTTGTCAATTGCTTTGGCCAATGTCGGTTTCGATGTCGATGTGGTCGTCTTGGCAACACGACCCGGCGCACTGCACTGAGAGAAATTTTAAATCCATTTGAATATCAGAATTTAAATATAATTCGCATTAAAAAATAGAAACTTCCAAAGTACCTAAAAATTAATACTTATTTCTTTTAAATTTGTTTATGGTTATGATTTTTAAATACCAAACTCAAAATAAATTTTTGTAACTCAAATTTTCTCTTCCTGTATCCAGTGCTTGTTATTGTCATATCCTTTTTGGCCTGCGAAAACATTTACAGCTGAAACAGTTGCCCTTTGTTATGGGCCAGGGTTTTAATTACATTCAATTTTTGAACCGATTTTCCGTCACTCGCCGTTTTTCGGTCTGAGTCCATTTAAATAATTTTCAGCTACTGTTTAAGGAGTTTATGGCGGCGATTTATTAATGAACATGTGAAATTTGGAAAAGGGCCCGTGAAAGGCTTAACCAAATAGGTTTACATTACCAGAAGGCGCCGGCTTTAATTTTCCCTAGAAATTTCCACAGATAAGTGATAGATTTAAAATCAACATAAGGTTTTAAAATGTGTGGGTCTTTATTTGATAATTTTCTAAATTATTTAAAAATGGTCTTTATGATAATGTACTCTGTGTTAGAAAAACCAAAATGGGTTTTGCCCGGACACGATGATAAAAAATTCAAAATAATATTCATTTATAGAGAATAAATACGAAAAGGAGATTATTTTTATCTCTGGTGGCTGTCATTTTTTATAAAAAACATTTTTTATACAAAATACACAAACCCTAGTTTTAAATGTTTGTTTGAATGTGTATGTATACAGTATATTATATGTACAATATTGAATCATTTATATTTAATTTTAAGGCAAGGTCGGTTTTTGTTATTAAACTTTTAATTTCCCTAACATTATATTCCCTCTTTATGACCATCTTCAAACTACGTCCATGTCTTTCATTCACACGATTTCCACTCAAGCGCCAACTCACTTTTCCACTCTCTCTCTCTCTGATTCTCTGAGCGACTGCCTTTTACTCTCTTGCGCTCAAAAGCAACAATATTATCATCGAGAGTAAGTAAAGTGTAACGACAGATTTGGTACCTGATACTCATCGACTTTTTACATAATTAATAAAGCCGTTCGTGAAGTGTGTAAATATATATATGATACTTTAAATAGAAAAATTTAATTAATAACAAAAACCGATGTACTTATTTTTCTCAAAAACAATATACTCTTCAACCAGAAGATTAATGGGTATGGCGAGAGAGAAGTAACATACGCCCTGTTGGCCAACATACTGTTAGCGTGCTGTTAATCGTAAGTTAACAGCGGCGGGAGTTCGTTGCTTGTTTTCATCGCCATCGCCATACATCGGCATTCGGTTTTTGAATCTTTTGGCGTGCGGACGTTACGTAGTGCAGTGTTCTGATCCGAGATTCGTCTTCGGAAGCGTGTATTTTGGTGCCGTTTTATCACGCTATCTCAATAACAGCGATAACAACAACAGCAGCATTGGCCACTAATTAAATGCTGAAGTGTCTGTGTGTCAATTGAATCTGTACGACTTTGATTAAATTAAATTACGAATTACAAAGTACAATACCAACCAGCAATTAACGGTTATTGCACCGGACCATCGCGGTAATTTTAACAATTTGATTGGGTGCCAAAAGATATTTTTTACACACACTCCTTTTTTGGGATAATTAAAAGGACAGCGTGTCCTTCTAGTGGAGTGAGTGTGTGTGCAGTGGTTGTGGAGGAATTTCTCATTAAACCGGCGCTAAAAGGATTACGAACCCGTTCATCTTCATCAGACCCGCAGCGAACCAGATAGCGGTAAGTTTCCTGGGATTCCCCCTCATACAATTTCATTATCACACAGTTCAAAAAATAAACCAAGACCTAAGTAATATTATAAAAATACGGGAAATTCAAAAAGAATTTTACAACATATTTTATCTTCACTTGTTTTGAAGACATTTAAATGACATATGTGCTTTTGACCAATTAAAATTGAATCACTTAAAAATGTTTTCAATTTAAATTCGGGAAACTTGGAAGAAATTTTATTTAATTGGTGCATCAAATTAGGCTACGATTTTTCTTTGTGTGCACACCTTCAATTCCTCATCCGTTTTATGTGTTGGCTTTTCACGCGACCCTCGCAAAAGTTAAAAAGGGTTGACCATGTGCCGTGGGTCAATATGCTTTTGTTGAGGTTAAACTGTGCTCGGAGGATACAAATCCCTACCCGCTTTTACCACCAAGTTACCACCCCCTCCCCCTTCCCACGCGATCCAAACAATGAAAGCCCCCAAAAAAGTTGCCGGCAATAAAATGAAATTGTTTTGAATTATTGAGATCTGAGAGAGAGAGCGGCCTGTAACCGGATGGTCCCTTTCTGGTCTATCCTTTTTTATTTTGTTTAAATATAATTTATATTTGGCGCATTTATGGCCAGGACCTCGGGACCCGGAAAAGGACTGAGCACTCTTATAGGTGTCTGGGGGCATTAACGGTTAACATGTTTGCGGTTTTTGATTGCTGCAAAGTCCTTTTATCAGCCCATAAAACGAGGGTCTCCCAACGCCTGCCAGACATTTTGGGTCCATATGTTGGGCGTGAGGAATTTCGAGGGTATTTGGAGTATTGGAGTGGGTGGTGTGGTTTCTGCAAATTGGCGAAAGGTTTTATAGAGTTCAGCGGAGTAACGACCAGTTTATCAATTCTGCGTGCAGCTTTAGTCAGCACCCGATAAGAATTGTATGCAAACACGAAAACGGGTCGATGCACTGACAACTACAAAAAGAACTTTGGATAAAAATGTGAAAACAATGTACACAATTTTTAACTCAAGATATGAAGTTGCTTACCCGACGACCTCATGCTAAAATGTTGATTAAAACAATCTTTGAATTTCATTTCATGGTCGTTACTTGTTTTGTTTTCCTTAAATATCTTATTATTACATATAAACAAACCTTTACTAAGTAGCTGCACTTCCCACACAAACTCAAGTTTAATTAACCGAATATCCATCCTCCATTAATATCGCCACGAAAGGCATCCATTTCGCTTTCCCTTCCCGACAATCTCAATTGCAACCACTAGCCAATATTGAGATTAATTTGCAGCGAGGAAAATCTAATTTCTTGACCAAGTCAGCAGCGTCTGAGGTTATTAGCTGGCCAACCGCATCCAGCATTCGACAGCCCTGCGTGGCTAATTAATTTCCATTCAGTAAATGGAAATGCGTAAACCATAGAACGCCGCAAATTAATTTCCCAGACCAAACCAGAAAGCGAGATACAGACAGACAGATAGACGTTGAGCAGAATGTAGCTGTTAGATCAACAAGGAGAACGTACTAAAGAACAGTCCGTTTCATTAACATCGTTATAATAAGAAAAAAATATTAAAAATAATTTTTATTATGAATCACAAAAATATAACAATGCTTATCAAAGCAAATAATTTTAAATAGTTTTACTATTCTTGAACAATCTTCATATAAATTTAACGACACATTAAAAGTGATTAACGAACTTTAATGTCTGGTTTTTATACTTTTGTTCATGGTTATCTAAATCAATTTTAAGAAAACATATTACAAAAATGAATCTTCCTTAATTTCTTTGATGCGCACTGTACAAAACAACCATTTATTTGCGGGTAATAGAAATTCCTCGAGTTTCCTCAGCCATTTTTATTTGTATTTGCGGTCTCCTCGGTTTCTGCAACTGCTGCTATTGCCGTTTATTGTAATTTTTTATGGTCCAGCTATGGTTCTTTTTGGTTTCATAACTAGCGACTGGCGACTTCGACCTATATAAGTGATTCTATTGTGTACATCGTGCTTTGGACATTTCGCAGCCAAGGCCTAAAAGCAGACACTGGCAAACATTTCCACTTTCGCTTTTCATTGTGTGTGGAAAATAAAGGAAAGGCAACAACAATGTTTGCTTATCTCTTTGCCTACACATTTTTATGTGTGTTGTGCTTTGTTTCTGGGCCCTGTTGATGGGTGTCGGGGCTTAAGGATTCGCTCTGTTTTGGATTTCTGTAGATAGTCATCAGCATGCAGAGCCACATGGCTCCTCCTCATCCTCATCCTCCTTGAATCTCCTTCAAGTTCAGCGAAAGCGAAAACACGAAGGAGGGTCACCATAAAAATGAGATTCGTCCTACGGTTGAAAGTTTGTCGTTTACCCGCAGAGGCAGCGAATTATGCCAGATTGGTTTTTATTTAAATTAGTTTTAGATTTTTTTCGGTTGGAGGACGGGACTCATCCAATGTTCGCTGAAGTGTTAAAACAGAGGATACAGAAATTGATTTTCGGGCCGAGATTGAGAACTTGAGGCGGCTTCCTTTCGCTTTTATGGCCAACTCAGCTGTCCCCAGACAACGACAACAAACGAGTTCTCCAGAAGTTTAGCCTCAGAATCGAATAAATAAACAATATGGTTGGTTTTGGGGGGCCAGAGGAATCGGATTACAGTGTCGCCTATCAATGACAAATTGCACATGATTTTTATTGTCTAGCAAGCAAATGTTTTTGTACTCCGACTGCCGTCTCAAAACTCTTTGGGCGAACCGATATTCTTTTTATTGTCTCTCCAAGTGTCAGAGAACCCCTTTTCAAGAGAGTCAAGTAATAATGACAGTTTATTAAATGCCAATTCAGATCCACATCGGACAGCCCATGGAAAGTTTGGCAAGCAGCAAATAACACACACAACGCTTGATTGCCGGGCAAACTTTTTTCGTTAACCTTTTCGGCTGACCCGGAGACTCTTTCTCATCAGCATAATCCCATGGGATCGGAGGGGGGTTGGTAAAAACACACACAACTTTCCCAAGCCAATTTAGAAAAATAACATCCACACCCAACCACTCAGAGATAACTTTTGTAAACATCTCCGGCTGGAGAAACATCTCCCTCCAAGTCGTTGTATCATTTATCACTGCTGGCACACCAAAAATATCATTTACATGGCAAAAAGGCTGTGAAAACAAAAAAGTGAAATGAATTATGTTGGAGGTGATGAAGTTATCATGGGGCTATCAACGCCACAGAGGCGGAAACCGTTCAAGTTGTCAATGAGATTGATTATTCAAAAGCCGGAAAAGACTGAAATGGCGCCAAGCTCTTCCTCAGGTGAAAATTAATAATAAATGCATTTTCAAATCATTGCAAAGTGATAAGCATGTTTATCGACTTCAAAATTTAATCATTAAATTGTTTAAATTATTTTATTATTATAAAATATGTGACTCTTTAAGGAGAAAGTTTTTTCTAACTTATCTATCAAAACCAACAAAAATTTTATTTTCCCTTTTTTACCACCCAATCCCAACCAATTTAAAGCACTTCTAATTTGCAAAACAATCTAGACCAAGTTCGTTAAACTTTATCACTCCTTTGAATTGTTTTCCATCAATAACTGCAAAAAATATTTTAACTTTATCGAAAGCTATCTTAAACTACAGTTTCTGGGTAACTCTAAACGTTAAATGTTTTTGCCCGTTCTGCTCCAGTCTGGAAGTTGTTAATAACCAATTTCTAAGACAAGTTTTTGTGTTGTCTGTGTCTTTGATTGTTATGTCTTCTACCATATCTCTTTCGCTTTGTCATTCTCTGGCATTCCAATAAACAGTTTTAGCGCTTTTTTGTTCTATTTTCATCTCGCCGCCGTCTTATTGTTACCATTATGCTGACCCATTTGGCTCGCTATACATACTTAGTGTGATTTTCAATTACCAAATTACTGACCCCAAAAACGATTACCAAACATGCTCAAACTGTGTGGCATAACTACTTTGTGTGCTTTATATATACCAACCACAAGTCGAATGCTTTATCAGCAAAAAGTCAAATGGAGCAACATGAAGAACAGTTAGAACCAAAGAATAGAAGTTGTATATTGATTTGGAAATGGAATTCGGTTCTTATGCGTATCAATATCAATGGAGGTGGCCCAGTCAAGTGAGCGGAGGTCTGTGTTTACCTTAGATAACCTATCAAAATACCAAAAGCAACAACTCCCTCCGAATCCCAATCCCCTTGGGTTCTTCGATTTGGATTCCGAGCAATACAAAGAAATCGCTGCCGATTAATTCCGATTCCCTCATATTTATTTTTTCCAGAAAATAATGAGCTCATCAATGGCTTGGACAGGTTGACGCTAACGATTTGAATACTGTGGTTTATTTGTGGGACTTATCAGTTATTCTATATTTGTATACACAAAAAGAAATTAAGTATTTAGAGTATAGTAAAATAAACTAAATTAATAAGAGCAGGAAAGGTTGATTGTATATTTTGTACCCTTTTTTTTTGTATTCTTTAATAAGTATAGTTTTTCATTACTAACCTACCTTTAAGTTTAATTAACTTCAACTTAACTTTTTTCCACTGTATACATATCTTTTCTGCGAACCTTTATTTTATTTTGTAATTTGTTGAGGCAGTCAGTTGTTGTTGACTCTTCGCTGAGTCAGTTCCTTAACTTTCCGTTCATTCCGCTGCCTTTGTTGATGTTCGACTTTTATCATTTTGATGTCATCGAGCGGGTTCTTGTGCCCATAAAAAACCGTCTTACGGTGTTTGCTTCTTATGAAACCTTTTTCTTCCTCCGCTCTCCACTCTCAATTCTCCATTCTTGTTGTTTGGCTCGAGTTAGTTCAGGCGACAGCTGGTCGCACCATAATTTTAATTAAAAATCGCTTAAAATCCTTGGGAAATTGTTTAAAACAAAAGTAGAAAAAAGGTAGATTAAGACGCATAGATAAAATGAGCAAGAAGGTTGGGAGGTGACTGAGTGTCAACACGTGC